ATGCATATTCATCAGAATTAGCTAATAGGGTTTAAAACGTTACACAACAAGGAACTAATATTATCTGTTTATAAGTCCGTACATGTAGATCAGCGAGCACAATTAGAAATTTATCTACTTATTTCATGAGAAAGCAAGTGTTACAATAGAACTGTGAGAGGATCCTCGGAACGATCACTCAGATACGTCGACAATATTTACAAGTGTGTTTCTTTTGACTCTCTGCGGTTGGAGTAAAAGAACCTGGCTTCATCATTTAAAGGTAAGTAATAATGTATTCGAGCGAGGTAAGGTAGTGTGTGTTGGAAGTAGGACTCTTCATTTAAAAGCAAAAGACGTTGCAGATGGCTTGTGAGGCAGTCCAGAGGGTGAGGTGGGAGCTGTACTTTACGTGAGGTGGGTGGGGTATAGGTGGAACGACACTCTTTCTATAATACATATAGTTCACAAGATGAGGTAGAAAGGTTTAATATGTCTGGGGTTGGTAAGGAATAAGTAGAACGGTACTTTATACTATATACTAACTCTCTGATTATACATCAAGAACATCTTTTGAAGTAAATAAAATCTCCCTATCTCCAAAATAACATGTTGACGTCACTCGTCACCTGACCTCGTCCCGCCTGCAAAATATGCATATTCATCAGACAAAGCTAAAGGGGTTTAAAACGTTACACAACAAGGAACTAATATTATCTATTTTAAGTCCGTACATGTAGATCAGCGAGAACTGTGTTTCTTTTGACTGTCTGAAGTGTGGTTAGAAGACTTTGCTTAACCTTTTTAACATTCACCTCAGTAAATTTCCAGGTAAGTAGTAATGTGTTCGAGTGAGGTAAGGTATTTTGGTGTTTGTTGGTTGTGTTGGGGTATAACTCTCCACGACATACGTTGCAGATAGTTGGAGATTTACTTTGTGTAGGGTGGGTGTGGAATATTTTCATACTACATGCGGCCCATACGGTAAGATAAAAGGGTTTGGTTTGTCCGGGGTGGGTGGGTAATAGGTGGAAGGAACAGCACTACATATTACATATTGTCTCTCTATTACACAACAGGCATATCTTTCGATGTAAAAGGAATATCTCTATCGTCAAAGTAACACTCTGACGTCACGTATCACGAGACCTCATTCCGCCCATAATTTATGCATGTTCACCCGACTAAACTAAAGGGTCGAGACAGGCTGTATGCCGTGAGAAACCGCACATTTTGTGTAATGTTGCATCATTTTGGACTTAAATATGGAATGATGGAAAGCAGAGGACATAACCATTTAAGGAGGCGTGCTCAACATGTATTTGTTGAAGAGGGGCCGACGACATTGTTAGTACTTATCTAGTCTAAACCCCTTCAATGTTTTCTTTCTTTCCCTCTCTCTCATATTCAGCACCGCCTCTCTTAACTCATCATTCATGTGATATTTAAGGTCAACGATTTTTTACTATAGATTATATAGTGGCATTTCATAAAAAAAAAATTAATATATCGTTTTGTGGCTAAAAATTCCAAAATGTGTGCTTCTGATCAGTAAATTTATTATTCATTCGTTACAAACATATATACATGTATATATATTTTAATTTTCAGGTGAAAATTCGTAGTGTCAATTTTTACTTGAAACTTACACATGAATCTCCTTCATAGTTTTACCAAACTTTTAACAAAACGATTATTTTGACAACTTCAATGTGAAATAAAAGCAACATTACAAAGAATCTCCAAATGTATGCCTCTAGCTGTCAGGTATAGTAACTTTTCAGCACATTGATATATCTTTGACAAACTTTTATTACAAAATTAGTTGTGCATTTTTTAGGTGAAAACAGCACATCATTCCAGTTCACGGAAATTTTCTTTGTCCCATCGCTGTGAATATCAAACAGTCACTGGAGTTTACATTAACGTCTGGGTTTTTTTCTTCTTCATATATATATATATATATATGCGTATTACTCTATACATTCCTTTCATATATATGTCATGCAATTTCAAAGGCATGTGCACAGTTTACGACTGACATTTGTAACCATTGGTGTGAATATATACTGACCGTTCACTTACAGGAAATAAAACAGTAATGAAGACTTTTGCAGGCATTATTGAAGAAGTGTACAATGTATATACTATGTTGACGTTGATACTTACAATCATTTTCACGAGAAGTATACGATGTAGCTATGATTATAACAAATGCATTCATTCTTGATTTCGTTTTATCTGGGTTTGGAATGTTTTCATATACTTTCGTGAATTTTAAAGAGGTAGGACGAGACGTCCATATCATATAAGTACGGACATGATTACGTACAAGTCACGGCAAATGTTTTGTTGTGTGTTTGCTTTGTTTGTTTTTCAATTGTTTCTCAGTCAATATCCATACTTCTATAACTAATCTGTATAACCAGTTCCGTGTCAATAACTAACGGACGAAGTGATCCTTAGGTAATTGCCGTAATGACAATTGCTGTACTGTGCAAAGTTATGCAGAACATCTTCTCATTCGAAATTTAATTCATACCCCACTTTAATAATAAAGTACATACACATTTGTACGCAAACCTACATGAATATGCAGGGGGATACTGAGGAACTCTAGTAAAATCTTCTAAATTCATTATATACCATGGCTATTTATATCGGAAAGTGAACGCACAGTAATTATTTTCTCACAATATTGCCATCATCTGCTCACAGCTCATATTTCAGATGTTTGTCTACATTAAATATGCCAGTCCTCTATTTTTCCAACAATAAATAATAAGAGTTGCTTCCCTTATATCAGATTTCAAGCGTTTCGGTGACATCGACTGACTCCACATTTTGCAGACGACATAAGAATGGAAGGAAGATTTCAGTTCAAAAAAGGTTTTGTGGTCATTCAGCTAAGATGGAAACTGACGTAACTTCTGTTCAATATTTATAACGATAACTTTAGAAAATCAGGTACATTTTAATCAGTGTTCTCCATTACGCTTGAATGACTCTCGGTGTTCATTGACGTATTAGGAATACACTGTACATTGCACACACGGTTGTCAAGCCGTCTCTTTAAATCTTGTTATGCTTGAGCTTTACCCAAATTAGATGAATATATAGTAATCACTTTGTACGTCCGTCTGTCCGTGTATCAATGATAGTATTTTATCCGACATATCCCATGAACCACTGGACAGGTTTAATTCATATTTAAACAATAGCATCACCCCAACAAGGTCAACACAGGGTTGTCTATTTCATATCAATTAAGAGTACATACCGTATTTATTCTAATAGATGCCTCCAACCAACCCATTTTCTCAGTAATTTTCCACAACTCGGGTCACAAAACTTACCTTTTATAAATGCCAAATATCCATGTATGTACATATGAATTTCTGAACAAGATAACAGTTAAATGCAAAATAGAACATAATCCAAAAAATCAAGAACACATGTCAGTTTACATTCCATTAACATCCGGGACTGCTGTATGAGCTACCGTCTTCACTTTCACTTTCACCATTATCACTTTCTGTTAGTTCTATTGGTGGAAGACGAGACACGTGCACATCACCCTTCAAATTTTACAAAACATCATCTGCAGTTTGGACATCCTTTTTGCTAAATCCTTTTAATTCCTCATCACCAGGATCTTGTTGGAAAATGTCATCCTCGCTACCGTCCAGCGAATTTGTAATGCCACATTTTTTTAAAGATCTTCTGGTAGTGGTCGGACTAATGCTGTCCCATGCTGCCTTGACCCATGGCAACATCACAACCTTAGATTTTCATGAGTACGAAATTTAAAAAACTATCAACCCGATCGTCAATCAATGCAACTGCATGTTGGGCAACGTGGGTAGATCGCCTAAATGAAATGTTATGTCTTTTTTCAAACTTTGTAAACCATCCATAGGAGGTTTTGAATGACTAGCTCCCGGTTGCCTTATGTATGCGTAGGGCCTCAAACCGCAAAGCTTTTCCGGTCACGCGGATACCGGCTTCTCGTCTGTCAGTCAGCCATTTCATTAAGTTTTTATCAATATCCTCATATGGAACATGCCTTCCACCTCCTTTACAACGTTTAGATGTTTTTTAGAGTTTTTCATTTATCTTTGTTTTACACCAGTCCCCCACTCGTTTTCTGTCAACACGAAACACTTTCGCTGCAGCATGTTTCCCCTTCTCTTCTGCGTAACCGATTACCCATAGCTTGAAGGGAGTATCATAATTCTGTTTTTTTACCCGACATACTGGTTATCAGGTATGTGATGATATGTTAGGAATCAGATTGGCTAATGCTGCATTTTTATTTGGGGTCAAGTACGTTTCTTGATAGAAACTGACACGATCGACCTCGCAAATGACAACAATGTTCAAGCTAATCCAATTATTAACACGTACGCTAAAACAATGTTCGAGTTACTGCAATGTCAAACACGTACACCAAATAATCTGTTAGTTTGTTAAACAATGTTTCAAATTGGTAGCCATGAAACGTGACGACCTACTCAGTCTGAAACTTTGTGTTCTATTAAACGCCCCCTCCTTGAAAAATTTCACGCCCCCGGGGCGTCTATTAGAATAAATATGGTATGTACTGTGATATGGATGTTGGTTTCATTGGACCAACATCAGTGACAGCTATAGGCTCAGTTTGGAATGGTTTTAAAAACACCTTAGTTTGATAAATTCATGTAAGCCTACTGATCGGGAAAACAGTGTATCTTTCGTTCTTCAGTCTGTAAGTACAATATTTTTCATATGTTCAGACCTATGGTATTGCAGTAGATTGATGGATCTTGAACATTGCTAGTAACCAGAGTTACATAATACATTGATGTTTGGCAGATTTTCATAGAAAATGAAAGGCATTTCTGATGCCCTTTCAGGTATTTAGCTACTTCCAGCAAGCAGAGCACTTCACTCCATATAGAATTTCACTTATAATTTTTTCTTTATGTTTTCAATAGGCATAAGATGACAGTGTGGTGCGGCAATTGATTTCTCTTGCTGAACACAAAGCAGAGACAGACAAGTGTCTAGTTGAAAATTCGAAAAAAACATTTGGGACATGTAAGTACATGTATATAGGTGAAAAATTCATTGATTTATGAGATACCAGGTATGTCTGCCTCCAAGTGAAATATCAAGGGAAGTAACTCGTATAAAGATATGAACAAAATTTACAGTGGTTAATAATGATAATATCTTGAATTTCTCTTGTATTTGAATATGTTTTGTTTTTAATTCTATCAATCCCAAACACTAATTACGGCCTGTTCTAAGAACTAGAACAATTATAAAAATATACATCGTATCCTAAGGAACTGGGCAATTACAAACAATAATGTCCTGTCCTGAGGACTAGGCCTGAGGACTAGGACAATAACAAAGACTTATGTCCTGCCCTGTGTACTAGGACAATTACAAAGACTTACGTCCTGTCCTGCGGACTAGGACAATTACAAAGACAATTATGTCCTGCCCTGTGTACTAGGACAATTATAAAGACTTATGTCCTGTCCTGTGGACTAGGACAATTACAGAGATTTAATTATAAAGACTGTCCTGTGGACTAGGACAATTAGCAATTACAAAGACTTATGTCCTGTCCTGTGGACTAGAACAAATTACAAAGACTTATGTCCTGTCCTGTGGACTAGGACAATTACAAAGACTTATGTCCTGTCCTGTGGACTAGGACAATTACAAAGACTTATGTCCTGTCCTGTGGACTAGGACAATTACAAAGACTTATGTCCTGTCCTGTGTACTAGGACAATTACAAAGACTTATGTCCTGTCCTGCGGACTAGGACAATTACAAAGACTTATGTCCTGTCCTGTGGACTAGGACAATTACAAAGACTTATGTCCTGTCCTGTGGACTAGGACAATTACAAAGACTTATGTCCTGTCCTGTGGACAATTACAAAGACTTATGTCCTGTCCTGTGGACTAGGACAATTACAAAGACTTACAAAGACTGTCCTGTCCTGTGTACTAGGGCAAATTACAAAGACTGTCCTGTATTTACGACTAGGGCAATTACAATTACAAAGACTTATGTCCTGTCCTGTGTACTAGGGCAATTACAAAGACTAGGACAAATTACAAAGACTTATGTCCTGTCTTGTGGACTAGGACAATTACAAAGACTTATGTCCTGTCCTGTTACAAAGGCTTATGTCCTGCCCTGTGGACTAGGACAATTACAAAGACTTATGTCCTGTATTTACGACTAGGGCAATCAAAGACTGTCCTGTGTGGACTAGGACAATTACAAAGACTTATGTCCTGTCCTGTGTACTAGGGCAATTACAAAGACTTATGTCCTGCCCTGTGGACTAGGGCAATTAGCAATTACAAAGACTTACGTCCTGTCCTGTGGAAGGAAATTACAAAGACTTACAAGAATTACAAAGACTTACGTCCTGTCCTGAAGAAACAAGAGAAAAGAAGGGAAAGATTTTAAAGAACAAATTAAAATCAAACAGTGGTGTACACCAATATACCTGTAGGGTCTTTCATTATTTTATGAGAGTGTAATTTTTTGTTACTTAAACCTCTACAAATATATATAACAAATTTATATAAAAAATCTTTTGTTTCCTTTCAGATTCCTCTGATCTTCACCATGGCAACACCCATAGGTCAAACCGCTTTCCGTCCTAAAGGTCAGAAAACATGTTTTCAACATAAAGAGAAACCGCTGGAACTTTATTGCGAGAAATGTGATCAACTTATCTGCCTTACATGTTTGTCAACAACTCACAAAGGTCATGGTGTTTGTGAACTCAGTTTAATTACTCCTCAAAAGAAACAAAATATTAAAAGCTTTATTGACAAAACAGAACAAAATGACCTGAAACAAGTCAGGGAATATATATCTTCTGTGGATACACTCCTTAAAAACAACACCAGCAATTTTGAGGAATTTTCACTCAAGTTAAAATCTCAAACAGATAAAATTAAACAAGACCTTGATTTGCTTACAGCACAGACACTCTCAGTTTACAAACAGATGGAAGAGGACAATGCCAGGCTGATTCTAAAGTACAAAAAAGACCTGGAGACATACAACAAGCAGCTAAAACAACAACTACAGGAATGTAAGGTGGCCCTCCAGCAAGGTTCTCACCTGGAAATCTACGACACAGAGTGTGAAATACATCCGTCAATACATCTCCCAGTGAATCCTGTCCTGGGTACGGCCAGCTTCACACCTAACACAACTCCACAACATCATCTACAACTGGCCTTAGGGACAGTTACCACCTCAGGTCAAACATCAGCTGACCAGGATCGGTCAGTCTTAGCATCAGGTGACCAGGAACAATCCTCTAAACAACAACAAACAGGAGTAAAAGGGAAGAAAGCAGTGATAATTAAAACACTACTGTCAGAGACCAAAGTGGTGAAGGAGTGGAAGTCTCCATGTGACATTGTGTCTATATGTCCCACCACTGATGGTCAGGTGTGGACCAGGGATTACAGTGATACATTAACTCTCCTTAACAGGGAAGGTAAAGTAGTACAGAAGGTCAAACACACGGCTGACATCAGAGACATCAGTCTATCACCCACAACACACACACTGTGGGTCTGTGACTGGGACAACAACATCATGGAGCTGGTATCAGGACGACTTACAAACAAATTCAGAACCAAGGAGGAACCCCAGTGTATATGTGTTACAGCCAGTAACCATATCATTGTGGGGATGAAGAAACACATCTGTAAATTTACTACACAAGGTCAAATGGTACTCACTACAATGGCTGTAGGGACTGGGAAACCATTAGTGTATACACCATGGAGGATGTCAGAGTGTCCAGTAACTCACAATGTCACAGTGATTGATATCAACGATGTGAGTGACGGTGGTGATGGAAACAGACGTGTTGTTGTCATGGATAGTGACTTCCAGGAAGTGTTTGTATATAGAGGTGACATCCCCAGTACATATAAACAAACACCACAAACAGGACGTGTAAGATTTAACCCCTGGGGTGTGGTGTATGACAGTGTGGGGAACCTCATCATAGGGGACTGGTACAACTGTAGGGTCCTACTCCTCAGTGGAGGTGGTGAGTTCCTCAGGATCATATACACAGACAGAGAGAGGACAAGGGCTGTAGGTATAGACAGGGACGATGTTCTGTGGGTAGTGTTTGGGGGTAACAATGTAAAACTACTACAGTACAGTGTGTGACAGTACTACTACAGTACAGTGTGTGACAGTACTACTACAGTACAGTGTGTGACAGTACTACTACAGTACAGTGTGTGACAGTACTACTACAGTACAGTGTGTTACAGTACTACTACAGTACAGTGTGTGACAGTATACTACAGTACAGTGTGTGACAGCAGTACAGTGTGTGACAGTACTACTACAGTACAGTGTGTTACAGTACTACTACAGTACAGTGTGTGACAGTACTACTACAGTACAGTGTGTGACAGTACTACTACAGTACAGTGTGTGACAGTACTACTACAGTACAGTGTGTGACAGTACTACTACAGTACAGTGTGTGACAGTACTACTACAGTACAGTGTGTAACAGATATATGTTACTCTGGTTAGTAACCATGGTAACTAACATTGTAATTAACATTTACATATCACAACAACAATACCATTTAAATGAATGATGTTCATTAGCAAAATTCAAAATATATAAGTGTCAAAATTCACTGTTTTGGACAAAAACTTTTTAGCAATTCACTAATAATTTATCCTGTTAATGATCTTGATTAGACAGAACTTAGAACATCACAATGTCTATCTTCAGGTCCTCAGTAGAATACCACTCGGGTGAAACCTTCTTCACTTTGTAAACAATATGTGTGTGTAAAAATCAATATGACATTTGCTTTAATGTGTAAAATCATTTCTGATTCCTCCTGGGGAAAAAAGTGGTAAAAAACAACATTTCTGTTCAATATTTTTAGTCAATACCTTTGGATAATCTCCGTTTTAAAAGTAACTGTTTATATTAAATTATGCCGTAACCCTATCTCTGTGTATTGTATGTTTGCCATTTAATCAGCAATAAAATACATGAAATTACATTGATATTTTATTTTGTCTGTTTTAATATATTTTCTGTTGTATATGTGTCAGAAAACTCCGGAATGTGATTTAACATGATGTCAGAATACTCCGGGCTCCTATTTAACAAAGTGTCGGAATACTTAGGTGTCAGACTATATAGGATGCTTGAATACTCACGGTTGAGATTTAGTATGATGTCAGAATACTCAGAGAGTAGATTTAAAAGGATATTAGAACATTCAGGACTCAGATTTAACGGGATATCAGAATACTCGGGACAGTGATTTAACAGAGACTGACGCACATTTGACCGTGGAAAGGCTGAGCTCATCTGTTGGTCTGGTGTACATGCCCCATATTTTCAATTTGTGTCACAGATACGCATTCCATGGATGTTTTTTTAGATAAAGAATGCACAAAATTAGACAAGATATCGCCAATGATTGTTGATCGTGTTTATTACGATCACGTTGTGTCAAATGTATTTTGGGATCCTATATGAAACAATAAAGATTTATATATTTTAAAAACATGAGTTAGATGTAAAATACCAGGTTGTTTGAAAATAATTAAGCATTGCTTTCTTATAACACGTATCAAGAATTTACCCCTGTAAAATTGTTATGTTGTAAAAAGAAAACGACAGATAAAACTTGACAAAATATCGCCGATGATCATTGATCGTATCAAAAAAGCAAACAAAAACAAACAAACATACGAACTGTATCTCGGTTACAAACATCTTACACAGTTTCATCAGCAGCAAAATGTGTCATTTGGACTAAATCCATAAAATATCTGGAGAGTTTTCTGTCGTGATGACGTGCAAGTTTTGTCGCTTGAAAGTAAAACACACACCAAGTTTGTCTGTCCGTCTGTCTGGTTTCACCACGGACTTAGACTTATCACTTAAGGATACTAATTTGCGATTTACGTGCAGGGCGGTGATTGGCTCCTTTTGTTTCGTCTGGTCGTAGTTCATTTAAAATCATTAATTACTGTGCCCCGATGAGTTTCTACTCTCGCTTTCCCTCCCTGTATGTATCTGTCCGCCTGTGTGTCTTTGTGTGTTTCTTCTCTCTGTCCTGCCGTATGTCTTTCATTGTGTATGTCACTCAGTCCAACTCTTTCTCTGGTAGCCGTCTGTCTGTCCGGACATAAGTAAGTCTGTGTATGTTGCTGTCGGTCCGAATGTTAGAATGTCTTTATGTATATCTGCCTGTTCGTCCATCCGTCTGTATGTTTGTTTCTATCCGGACATCGGTATCTCCATCTGTATGTGTTTATATTTCTGTTGTCTGTCTCTGTATCTGGCTGTCCATTCCCGTATTTTATGTGTCTATATGTCGGTCAGTCTGCCCGTCTTTGTCTTTTCGATTGTATGTGCCTCATGTCTCTTTTTAAATATTTTAAATACTTTTTTGCCACTTTTTAAAATAAATATACTAACATTATTTAGTAGTAATGAACATTACACAAGACACGCTTCATTTAACCTGTTACAATAGTCTTTTATCATATTAAATGTATGTTGTTATTCCCGATAAAGTCTTAGAGTGATACGCTTGAAAAGACAAAGGGATTCGTCCCCTATTTCCCCGAGACATAAACTGCAAATTCTTTCTGATTTTCGTGGAATTCCTGACCATCTTCCAGTTTCCGCTAATTGATGGAATTTGGATGTGCGAACTTTACACAAAACATTTCTGTTCCTAGATTAGGTTTCAAAAGATATTTCTTAATTACAAAATGAACTTTAAAAACTTAATACACTTGACAACGACCACAATTTTCAATATCGTCAATCGCTTTTGTATTAACTGACCATAAATTTGCTGCTGTAATCCGTTTGATTGAAGCAGGTCGTTTTTATTCGTCACAGTTAAATTATGATAGGACCACGTGGAAATATAATTTAATCCGGTATCGTTAAGTAAATTATTAACAATTCTAATCCATTTAAAAAGTACTCCCGTCTTTCCCTGTAGATGAAATATGAACGTTACAGACATGTAGATATCTTACTACTATTTCGTGTGATCAGTTTTCCCCCCAAAAATATATCTTACTTTTATTTGCACATCTTCAGGAAAACGCCCAGTCTCGCAATAAACCTCGAAGTCAGGAGTACTTTTTATCGCGTTTCAGACTTTTGATTTTTTTCCTATCTTTTAATATGACAAGTTTCATGTCCCAAAAGATTTTTGGTGCTTGATCTGATAACCGTTTCTGTAAGTAAATCTCTACTGACGGAGAGAACGTTAATGACAATATGAGTGGAGAAGATATTTTATTTATAGATCAAGTTATCAAATTATTTGATTGTAGTCATCAGATTAAAATTTTTACAAAATCAAATATTATGGTACGTTTTCGGTCACAAACAGAGAATATGTGTCATTAAACTATTTTCCTTACCACAGAAAAAGCTGTAACAGTTTAGAATTTTATGTATTTTGTTTTGTTTGGTCAGTAAGGTCAAAAGAGTTACCTCCCTTGGTTTATAACTTCTACATGTGCAAATGTATATACTATGTATTTGTTACTTTTAATGTGAGATATAATCCATCACATGCAAATCAAACACTTTTACATAAGATGGCTATCAACATCTCTTTAAAATTTTTAATACATTTTCAATCAAGTCACTGAATATGTCAAATGTACAACTCCCTAAAACAAATTTTAATTGTGGCAGTGGTATTGGACATTGGACCCAGAGCAAAAAAATTTAAAACAGATTGCTTTATTTACTTCAGATATGGTAACTGATGACACCAACGTTCCTTGTCTCACATAATAATAGTATACGATATGGCTACGTACGACACGAGTGTAGGCGTACATACTACAATACAGCAATGTGTAACAGTACTACTGCGGTATAGCAGAGTTACAGTACTACTACAGTACAGTGTGTGACAGTACTACTACAGTACAGTGTGTGACATTACTACTACAGTACAGTGTGTGACAGTACTACTACAGTACAGTGTGTGACAGTACTACTACAGTACAGTGTGTAACAGTACTACTACAGTACAGTGTGTGACAGTACTACTACAGTACAGTGTGTGACAGTACTACTACAGTACAGTGTGTGACATTACCACTACAGTACAGTGTGTTACAGTACTACTACAGTACAGTGTGTTACAGTACTACTACAGTACAGTGTGTAACAGTACTACTACAGTACAGTGTGTGACAGTACTACTACAGTACAGTGTGTAACAGTACTACAACAGTATAGTGTGTAACAGTACTACAACAGTACTACAACAGTACAGTGTGTGACAGTACTACAACAGTATAGTGTGTAACAGTACTACTACAGTACAGTGTGTGACAGTACTACTACAGTACAGTGTGTGACAGTACTACTACAGTACAGTGTGTGACAGTACTACTACAGTACAGTGTGTAACAGTACTACTACACTACAGTGTGTTACAGTACTACTACAGTACAGCAGTGTGTGACAGAACTAGACAGATATATGCCATTCTGGTGAGTTACCATGGTAACTAACATTATAATTAATATTTTCATGTCACAAAAACAACACCATTTAAATGAATGATGTTCATTAGCAAAATCGAAATGTATAAGTGTCAAAATTCACTGATTTGAACAAACACTTTTTAACAGTTCACTAACATGTTGTAGAAGTTTGCTATTCCAGACATTTGTCTGCTGACACTATTTAGATAATTATCCTGATTAGACAGAACTTAGAACATCACAATGTCTATCTTCAGGTCCTCAGTAGAACACCACTCAGGTGAAACCTTCTTCACTTTGTAAGCAAAGTGTGTGTAAAAAATAATATGACATTCACTTTAGTGTATTAAAACATTGTCTACTTTTTGTTTCTGATCTATTCCAATTAAAATCAGTATAAAGTTATGTTGTGTATCTAGAGGTGACCAATGTCTTATACTGTATATGTATACTGTATCTCTGTCTCTGTAGTGTGTATCTAGAGGTGACCAATGTCTTATACTGTACATGTATACTGTATCTCTGTCTCTGTAGTGTGTATCTAGAGGTGACCAATGTCTTATACTGTACATGTATACTGTATCTCTGTCTCTGTAGTGTGTATCTAGAGGTGACCAATGTCTTATACTGTACATGTATACTGTATCTCTATCTCTGTAGTGTGTATCTAGAGGTGACCAATGTCTTATACTGTACATGTATACTGTATCTCTATCTGTGTAGTTTGTGTATTGTATATTTGTCGTTTATTCAGCAATAAAATACAATGAAATTAAGTGGGGATTTTTTGTTCCTCTATCAAATATTTTTAAAAAGCTGTGTCAGAATTCCGAATGTGATTTAACAGGTAGTCAGAATATGCAGGGGCCAGACCACACAAGACATCGGAATACGCAGTGGTCGGATTCAACGGAATGTCTAAACGTTTTAATGATAATTAAATCCGAGCGGATTGGACAGAATATCAGCATTCTTAAGGGTCTGACTATACGGGATGCTTGAATATACTCAAGGTTGAGATTTAGCAGGTTGTCATAATACGAAGGGTTCAGATTTAACAGGAGATCAGCATACTCAGGGCAATGATGTAACAGGTATTGACGCAAATTTGACGAGAGGCAAAGATCATCTGTCGGTCCGGTGTACATGTCTCATATTTGTAGTTTTTGTCACAAATACACATTCCGTGGATTCTTTTAAAAGCACGGATACACAAAATTAGACAAAATCTCTCCAATGATCCTTAAACGT